CTTCACCCAAGCCTAAAGTCACTTCCAATGGCTCAGATTCAAACTGCTGAGGGCAAGGAGCTCACGCACACTGTGCTTCTGGCTACTCACACTGTACGTTCAAGGGTAACACATTTACCATGGATGTTTTTTCAGCTTACATCAACTTCTAACCCCCTAAACTCAGAGGCCTTTTAGACAAGGGATGACTCATTACAAAACCTATATCACATTTCATCAAAACTAAATCTATTCTAGAAATTACGGGGTTTTTTTTCAACTTTTAAAATAACTGTTTGGGGGGCTGGAGAAATTGCTATTTTGGGGGGCTGGAGTACTGGCTATTCTTGCAGAACTTACTATGTAGACCAGGGTGGCCTTGAACTTACAGTGATCTGCCTGCCTCTGCCTCTAGAGTGCTGAGATTAAAGGCGTGTGCCACCACGCCCTAATCCTTAATCACTTCTAACACAAGGAGACAGGGAGCACTTTTTCCAAACTGGGAATAAAAATGCTTTCTGGCACTGATTAATTGACTGATGCAGGTCAAACGCCCTTTCCTGGATCAGTAATATCACAAGTGGCTGAGGCCTTTAAGCTAGAGATGTATGGTAGACTGTTCTTTGTTCTTTTTTTTTAAATGTGTGTGAGTGTTATGCCTCACCTGTAAGTGCACCTGTATCGTGCAATGTCCCACGTAGGAGAGAAGAGGGCATTGGATCCCCTGGAACTGGAGTTACAGACTGTTAGCTGCCATGTGGGTGCTGGGATTCCAACCTGGGTCTTCCGCAAAAACAGCCAGTGCTCTTAACCGCTGAGCCATCACTCAGGTCCCAATGCTGTTTTTCTTTTCCTCATTAACTATATTAACTGTTTGAAAGGTTTTGTTAATGTTCATTTTTATTTTTGAGACTTCCGTATGTAGGCATTGTATTTGTATTTATTTCCATCCCTTCCAGTCCCCGACCAACTCAAATTTCTCCACAATCCCTTTCAATTTCTTGTTCTCTTCTTTGATTATTGTTATATACATACATACATTTATAAATATACATATATATAATGCATTGAGTCCATTCAGTGGTGTATGTGTGTACCTGTTTTTAGGGCTGTCTATTTGGGATTAGATAACCTCTAGCTAGTACCTGGAGGAAACTGATTCTCCCTCCCTCAGCATCCAATAATTGCCTGTAGCTCTGCGTCTTGATGTGGAACCATATGATACCCCCCCCCAATTCACCTTGGCATGTCAACTGATTTTGTCATTCTGCAGATCTCTGTACTACCATACTATGCTTATTTTATTGGTGCAGCTTCCTTATCCTGCCTAGAATGCATTAACTAGCAGTCTGTCTCTTGTTCCTCTGGTGCTAACATTGTTTCTACCCCCTTCCCTGAGCCATGAGTGTAGAGGTTATATTGTAGATACATTAGGTAGGGCTGAGCACCTCACTTATTCTCTACATTTGATCTGTGGTGGAACTTGGTAATAGTCTCCATCTGAAAAAAACACTGTTCTTTTTTTACTGTTTTATGTGCATGAGTGTATTGCCTCCATGTATGTAAGTGCACCCATGTCGTGTAATGCCCATGGAGATCGGAAGAAGACATTAGAGCCCCTGGAACTTGAGTTACAGATGGTTGTTAGCCACCACATGGATGCTGGAAACTGAACCTGGATCCTCTGCAAGAGCGGTCAGTGCCCTTAACCACTGGACAACCTCTCCAGCCTCCAAAACACTGTTCTTATGAGAAGAAAGGTGGTAAAAAAAAAGAGAAAATAGCCCAGCTGGGGTAAATTTTGAAGATGATGAAAATCAATGAACTGAGAAATCAGTAACTTGCCAGAGATGATCAACCATTTGGAGAAAGCTGCCCAGGCAGGTCATCTCTATGTAAATAATTGTTAACTCTTATATCAGCACAAGAACAGTTGCTGACTGGAATTTAGAGACTTGCATTGTAGCCCCTGGAAGAATGTTAATTTCATAATTGTTGGTGTGAAACTTCACTGAAGGAGGAAATACTCTTTCTGTGAGAATCTTTACAAACGGAACATTTTGGCTCAAGCTTGCAGCGCTGGCTCCCTGCGCCCCTGCCCCGCCCCAGCCCAGCTCCTCCTCCTGTGCCACTTTTGCATGTAATGAGGCACCTACCATCTCTGCAGCTGCCACAGCCACAGTGGGAAATAAACCAAGCCAGCATGCCTGAAGTCAAAGGCCTTTTAGAAGCCTCATGAGAGACACCAGGGGACTCCATCACCAGAATTGGGGTGGTAGGCTTCCCAAACCAAGCCTGGACAGGCTATAATATAGTCACAAAAATGACAGATGGCACGGATGCTGATCTTGCAAAGACAGCTTATTCACATCCGAGGTTATCAGATACCTGTGTTTCTTTGATCATTTTCCAAAGAAACTAAAGAGTTGGGGAACATGCTGATGGGCATGAAGCTCATCAATAGCAAGCCTGAGGGCTTTGTCTTGATCCAGAAGATGGCGGACAAATTGGAGGTGGCCTTTAGACAGAAGAGGCTGTGCATTAAATTTACTCCCCACGATTCAACTGAAGCTGCCATTTGGAGCATGGACTGGACCAAGCAGGTGCCTTCTCAGTACACAGTTATTGGGGAACTGAACAGAATGCTGATGGGGGAGCATGTTCCACTACAGCTGCTGTCCCAGTCCAGCACACATGGCCCTATTGAAAAGACTAACCAGAGCACAGTACCCCTATCCCCACAGTCCTCACTCTGAAAATTCAGTCCCTTTCTAGGGGCCTTGGAAATAGCACACAGGTGACAAGCCAGAGGAAGTTTGCTCCAAGCTCACCTGTAAATTGATCATAAGGCCTATTTCCCACCCCAAGTCCAAGAATTGCTGCCAGCCCCAAGACTCAGGAAAGAAAAAGTTAGGACCACCCTGCCCTTCCTGACATTCAGAGCTGTGTGGCCACCTATGGCCAAGGTCATTTTGCAGAAAGAAGCTTCAGACTCTGGTTGACAGCCCCTCTGTCAGACGAAAGGACACAAGGACGTGGGGACTAAGGCACTGAGCACCACCCACCCTCACTAGGCACCAGGCTGGGTAGTCTTAGCACATTTCCTCTACTTTTCCACCCAAACAAGCCCAGCGGTGGGTGGTATTTGCTCCCTGTCACAGATGAATAGCCCAAGGCATATCCACAAGGCATAATCTGACCCCAAGGACCCTGGGCCAGCCATCCTATAAGACATGCTGGTCTTCATGCCCAGTCCTATGACAGATTGTCTACTGTCATCAAGTCATCACACTACAGTGGGCACTGGGTATGAATCAAGCCAGGAGTTCTCCTGTCCCGCTCCTCCCCTGACCTGAGCTGTCATTTTGTGAGCTGTCAGCTGCTCCATCCCCTGACACATTCGGAGACTCCAGACCAGGGAGGAGTGTAGAAAAGGGACTTGATAAGCAGCTGCATGCCACCAAACCATGCAGAGCAGAGCCCATGAAATTAGTTTCGGTCCATCTGCCCCCTAGAACCTGAGAAGGCAGAGGACTTGCTCCTGCACCCAGTTGTCCTCTGTGGCAGCCTGGCTCAGCTTTCTTCACCTGTTCCCAGTGTAGGCCTCTGAGTAGCTACAGCTATCACCACTAGGAGATGTAACTTTGTTCTTCCTTCAAAGGCTTGTGAGCTGGAAGGCCACTGTGTGGGGCTGGGACAGTAACCTTAGGAGGAGCCTCCTTCCTGCATATTAACTCAAGGTGATTGCTTGCCAAACAGGTTTAATTGGTGGTATTATTTTTTGGACAGGGTCTATGTAGCCCTTGCTAATCTGGAACTCCCTATGTAGAGCAGGCAGGTCTCAAACTCTCCGAGATCCACCTGCCTCTGCCTCCCACGTGCTGGGATTAAAGGTGCGCACAACCACACCCAGCTGTATTAAGTTGTTAAATAAATGTTTTAACTTTTTTTTAAAATGTACTCACTCTTTGAGCCCTAACATGTTGAATTATCACCAAAAAGTAAATATGATATTCCCTTTGAGAATAGTTTGGGTATTTTCTTCTACTCAGATTTATGAGTGTTTTCTACTATGAAATTGATCTCACTTCTGTTAAAAACCTATGTAATTAGCAATTAGCATTTTTGTTTGTTTGTTTGAAGCAGAGTCTCACTATGTAGCCCCAGCTGGCCTGGAACTGGCTATATAGAACAGGCTGACCTTGAACTCAGAGATCCATCTGCCTCTGCCTCTTGTTGGCACCAAAAGACATTAGAAATTCAACCATTTCCCAATATTTCTAAGTTCATTTTGAAGCCTCTCTCCTAGAATATGGCACGACTTTGCTTATGCAACACAGATGGCTAAGGAGCAGGCTAAAGAGGAAGTGTTTAAGTAAGGAAATGTGCAGCCTGCTAGGACCTCAAGGGGAGACCAGTGTTGGCCTGGTGCTTCAGAGACAGTTCTGAATGGAGATTCAGCAAACCCTTATAGTCAAGTTATTCATAGATCTGGCTCATCTTCACCAGGCTCAGCCAGCTGGCCTCCCTGCCTATTTCCCCAAACGTGTCTCCATCTGGATCCTGCACCCGCTCATCTCTACTCATTTGTCTACATTGTAGGATTAGAAGTAGTCTAAGTCGTCTGAGAAGGTCTGTCTAAATCTGTGTTTTCAGTTGTCTGAGAACAGCCTACCAGTCTTTTGATCTAAGAGAAGCAGTTTATACCTAACTTGTTTCTAACCCCTTATTGGAGCTGGGCCTTTTGGAAGACAGTGTAGTCCTCCCAGGCCTCCCAACCGACTTGCACAGAAAAGTCACTACTGGGTTAGATAAGTTTATCGAAAGGAAAAAAGTCAATAGCATCAAAGACATTAAAAATTAGGTAGCTTGTTTTTTTATGAAATCTTTACCACTAGAATGCCATCTTATATTTAGGAGACCTCTCAGACACGTGCCTGATAATGACAGGGTGGTTTACCAAGGGACACCAATTCAAGTTCAGTGTCCTTCGTGTATAGCTCAAAGGCTGGTGAAGACTTCTATATCCTATGTTCCCAGGGGTTAGCAGGAGACAGGCCCCAGCAGTATGACTGTACTCTGAGAGAGGCATCGAGGTCAGCTGTGGTCAGGGGATGGTTCCGGACCTGGTGCAACATGGCCTGGCCTGGGGAGAGAATGTGCACCAATGGTGAAGCAAAGCTCAACTAGGACCAAAACTTCCTGGGGGACATTAGAGGGAAATAGTCACCCCAGCCCACGCCTTCCCAGGTGATCTATTCACACCCTACCCCAACTATCTCAGTGACTTCATGCCATAAAAAACCCTAGAACTTGAGGCTGTTCCCCCCTGAATGGGCTCTGTGGAGCATCTGGATTCTCAGACACCTGAAAGGTGGTTATGATGGAGGGATTTGCAATGCCATGCAAGTATTCCCAGACAGACATCAGTCTCACAACCCCAGTTCCATCAAGAGCAACTACCTCGGGCCTGATGGTGAACTTCCTGGCTCCCCACGCTCCAGATCATGTCCATCAACCACTGCTTGGATCTGAGAGGCCCCACCACAGTGACTCGAGTCAGGCCTGAGCCTGTGAACCACCCTTCCAGCTGAATGAGGGTGTAGCTGTGTACCTCAATGCAGCGAAGATGCGTGTCCCTGTGACCTGTGCACAAAAGAGGTGAGATGAGATAGGTAAACCACCAGCACTTGGTGGGTGGGTAAGCATCCATGAGGAGGGTAGGAATGTGAGACAGAGGGGAAAGATGAGAGGAAAGGTTGGAAACTGATGAGAGGGAAAGGGAAAAGGAGATATAGACAAAGGCCACCTACCAAATATGTGCTCTTCCAGACTCTCATCCATATAGAATACCAGTGGGGCATGGAAGTTCTCAGGCAAGGTCCGCCATTCCATCTCACTGGGAGCATTCACTTCCATCTCTTGGATTCCTGCTTTCTTCAGAACAGGGCCAGTCCAAGAAAGTAGTCGCAGAATGTGAGGAAGAGCTCAGGCTCTGGCTTATATTTACTCATTCCAAAATCCCAGTCCTTGACTCACCTTAGGGAAGAGAACCTATCCCTGAGCTTCTCACACTAAAATCCAATCAATCAACTGTCAATCTTCTATGCCAATTAGATAATCTATTCAGTGCTTCTCTTTAGTATAGAGGAATCCAAAATTTTCTAGGTAATATCAAAGAGTCTGGAGAAGATCTACTGACATGAACTAGAGAAATGGTTGAGGGACAGATGGGCAGGACAGGCCCTGAATCTTAACAGGACCTAACAACAAACTAATTACTACAAGAGGGTATTCAAAGAAAGTTGGGTGCTCTTTGTTTGGTTCATTGGGCAATGGGAAATTTTCCTAAAACAGACCTGTTTGGTAATTTTTAACCTAGAATGTTAGAAGATTAAGAAGATTTCTTTTGTTGCTTTGTTTTCTTTTGTTTTTTTTTTTGAGAAATGTCTCACTAAGTAGCCCAGGTTGGCCTCCAACTTGTCAGCCTCCTTCCTAACCTTCTGGAATTCAAACACTAAAGGTTTATGTCCCCACAGTAACAAGGATGACAGCATATATGGCTCCAGTGGGGGGAGGGGGAGGCTATGGGAGGGTGCCATTTGGGCTGCGGGTACATAGATGAATAAGTTTGTTTGGGATGTTCTATATGAAATACACACAAAAAAAATCAACAGAAAATTTAAAATGAGTTATATTTGAGGAAGAAGCATAAAAATTTGCTTCATGTTAATTAGTAGAGGTGAAAAACATTACCATTGAAATCTACCCGATGACTTTATATCCATACTCAGGTGCCAAGGATCCAAGTGTAACTGACAGTGACTAGTAACAGTCAGAAACAGAGATTAGAGACTCATGTGCAAACATCTAAGCGTTAGTAGCATTAAAAATGAGTTCTTCTGTATGAAACAGTATATTTTAAAATGAAATGGAGATCTCTTTTAAAGGTTAAAACCTCATTCAATTTTATGTCTTATAGGGTTTATACTGAGTTCAATATTGTATAACTGTATTAATTCAACTGTGAACCGAAAAATTTACAGCCACTTTTGAGAGGTGCATCTTTGCTCTGAAAATGAATATGTTAAAGCTGTAATGAAATGCTTCTTCTAATCATGTGGTTATTAAAAAAAAATTTTTTTTTGATCTTTTTGAGACAGGGTCTCCCTGTAGCACCAGCTGTCCTGGAACTCATGATATAGACCAGGCTGGCCTTGAACTCAGAGATCCGCCTGCCTCTGCCTCCCGAGTGCTGGGATTAAAGGCGTGTGCCACCACGCCCAGTGTTTAAATAAATAATTTTTTTAAAAATTACCAAAATAGAAAAAAAAAAGGTTGTGTCCCTCATGCCCAGCACTGTTTTTTTGTTTTGTTTTATTTTGTTTTTCTTGTTCCCAGTGCCGAGGATGAAATCAAGAGCCTTTTGTGAGCTAGTCAGGGGCGTTTAGCCACTTCCTATGCCTTATTGTGATCTTGATTGCCCAAGTCCCTTTATCTACTTTGAAACAGTGTTAAAGTCTAAGTCTAAAAGCAATGCTATGGCCTTGACTCATTAAAATATTTTACAGAACATTTTTTGTTTCGATTTTTGTTTGTTGGTGTCTTTGGATTTGATCATTTATAAAGTGTCTGGCTCCATAATTTAGGCTGGTCTAGAACACTCGACATTTTACTGGCTGGCTTTCTGTCTCAATTTTCTCAATCCTAGGATTATAGGTATGTACATTCTGCCCAGCCTTTCGAGAAATGTTTGTGTTTAAGAGGAAAGATTAAACTTTACCTGACAGTCTTAAGGTTTTGGATAATTGTCTTTTTTGCTTTTGTTTTTGTTTCCCTCCCTTTTGGACCACAGTCAGCCTTCCCTATTACATCACAGAGGCTATCCCTACAGAAGGGATCAAACACACCTTATATCCTATCTAGTGTGCTACTTAAGATGCTAAGCTCCTAGCCTCTAAGTGCCACAACCTAGGGTGAGACAATCAGATTTACTGCCTTATATCCTACCTGGTACCTTCACTAATCTGCTAATCTCAGAGACCTTTCCCTTGAAGTTCAGAAGCCTTAACTGTCTAAAGTCTACAAACATGACCAGTTTCCTTTGTGCTGTGGATTGCTGTTGGATCTCCTAGCTCAGCTTCACCTGCTATGAGTGCCTCCCCTTCCCCATTAGTAAAAGACCTGATTAACTGAAATCCACCTCAGCATATCTCTCTACAGAACCTGGGCAAAGAAAAACCTTTATTATTTAAAACACTCAGGTCTTTCATCTGTAGGGTTCTGATCCATTGATTACATGTGGCTCATAGAACACCTGCACCCACATACTATTAGTGTCCCAAAGGCCTTTGGATTCAAAATGAAACACTGAATCAACAGAGAAGACAAAGCATGCAGATGAATACAATGTAATACTCAAATACAGTACTGCTCATTATGAGAAAAACTGACTCTTTAAAAAATTATTTAATTAGTTATTTATTTTTATGTTATGTATATGAGTGCTTTGCCTACATATAAGTATGTTATGTGTGTGCAATGCCCACGGAGGCCAGAAGAAGGCATTGGATCCCCTGGAACTAGAGTCACAGACAGTTATTATCCACGATGTGGGTGCTAGGAACCAAACCCACGTCTTCTGCAAGAACAGCCTGTGCTCTTAACTGCTGAGCCATCTCTCTAGCCCCTAGAAAAAGTTATTCTTAATCCACTTAATAAACTCTAAGAACAAGAGTCTAGATTTCAAGACCAGGCCATGAAATCATGTCCCAAAGTCCCTAAGAATTCTTTCTAGAGAGTCAGCTCATCTTTCTCTTAGCCCAATCACAAATCTGCTCCACCTAGTCAGTAATGTTTTGGGAACATACTACAAGCAGTGTTTCCTATAATTTAAACTTTCTACCAGTCCAGAGGCTGTGCAGTCATCCATACAAACCATAAAGCTGGGGCTGGAGAGATGGCTCAGCAGTTAAGAACACTGGGCTATTCTTGCAAAGGACTCAAGTTTGAATCCCAGCACCCACATGACATTGTTGTGTTAACAATGACCAAATTAAAGCCATGTCGCAGGCCCATCTGGAAACTCTGATTACCAATACACATATGGAAATTCCTCCCCAGCAATCGCCACCTCTTTGATTCTGCAGCAGACACCAGGAGGGAAGGTCTTCCTCCAACTCAACTCTAACTCTAACCTTTCCGGCCTGGAAAGTCCATACGAACCTTTGCAGAGGACCCAGTCACACAAGGCTGGATGCACTGCAGATGCTGCTGGGAACAGTGTTCTAGAATAACACCTGTACTACTGTTATAACCCGGGGTTCCAACTACCTCTTCTCCAGTGCTAACGAAATAGTCAAGCTAAAGGAAATACTTCATTTCAAAATGTCAGTTCATTATAAAGAATAATAAAGATGGAGACAGGCAGAGGATGAGGTTGTGTGGGGAGGAGTGGGCCACACCCTGGGGTCCTCCACTGATCAGCTACTTGTAATCTCCCTCGACTCAGTTCTTTGGGTTTCTGTGGAACCTTCAGTATGTAGTCATCATGGTTAAATTATTTCCACTGGTTATCAATTTCACCCTCAGTACCTTCTTCCCTCCCTGGGGGTTTTACAGAAAAGCACCAAGTCTTGGGGTTGAGGAGATGGCACAGTAATTTAGAGCACTTGCTCCTCTGGCAGAGGGCCTGGGTTTGGATACCAAACCCATTTGGAGGCCCACAACTGACTGTAACTCCAGTTCCAGGGGTTCTGATACCCTCTTCTGGCCTTCATGGGCACCAGGCACACATGTGGCCTGGGTTCAATTCCCAATACACACATGGCAGCTAATAACTGTCCATAACTCCAGTTCCAAGGGATCTGACACCCTCTTCTGAACCTTTTTCTTAAGTTTTTATAGACTTGCCACCCCTAAACTCAGATAGATGCCTTTCAGACTAGGGAAGACTGTGATTACTAAAACTCAAATCACATTATCAAAAGATGGACCGGTTATCCAGATTCTTTCATTTTTCTGAAGGGGCCTGAGAAGATGGCAGTGTCTGCCTAACAAGCAGTATTCATGTATCTGTAAGACTTGGAGCAGCCCCTCCCTACACAGCCCCCCATGGCCCTGCATAGGGCTCAGCATCTTGGCTTCTATACCTTCTCTATTCCCCATCATGACTGCATCAGGTACCTTAGATGACTCTCATGACTAGGTTTATTCATTTATTACAAAAGTTGACTTCCTCAAACTTCATTTTAGACAACAAACATGAAGAGATGGAACTTGCTTCTTCCCACCTTGCAATACCACACCCTTTCCCTCTGTTCTTTGTTGCCTACTAGTATTGGGTACCACCTACAAGTGCTTAGATCTCAGTTATGAAAGACACACCCTGACCAGGAAGGGTGACTTCCACAAGTAAACAAGCACTTGGGAAACTGAGGCAGGAGAATCATGAGTTCAAGCCCAAGCCCAGCAGTGAAATCCTACATAGTCAAAAAAATTTTTTAAAGAGAGAGAAGAGAAGAAGGGTAGATGAGGAGGAAGAGAGAGGGAAGGAAGAATTTCCCATGCTTATTGATGGTCCAATAGTATGTAAGTATATGACATGCAGTTATTATCATTTAACATCCTATATGGATGCATTTGGCTTCAGGTATAAGAAACCTGGGCTGGAGAGAAAGAAAGGAACAAAGAAACACTGGCTGAGAGGACTGTAAACATGGGGGCAGGGTTATCTACCATAACTAGATATCAGTAGGTATAGAGTATCATACACTGGGTTTCACCACCAGGCTATCAGGCTCTTCCTATCTTGATCATCCACGGTCAGCAGGGCACTGTTGGGGTCCATGTTATTGTCCAGAGATGGCTACCAATGGCCACTGGCTCATCACATCTCCTTCATCACTTCTAAAACAAGAATGAGACTGGAAGCTCTTCTCTGAAATGCAGAATAAAAATGCTTTCCTGACACCCGATTGAGCCAATGCAGGTCAAATGACCTTTCCTGGAGCAGCAGTATCACAAAGCACATGATCTGATTGGCTACAGTGAGCTGGGGTGGGGGGACAGCATCTCCACCCGGAAAGATGTTGGCTTCTTCCTTAGAACACCTAAATCCTTACAGCACTGAAACATTGGGGACAAGTGTTGCGCCCAGTTCGCGAGACCCCAAAGACCGCCAAGGAGCCGACCGATGCAAATACACAAGGGTTCTTTTATTGTTACAAGCTTAAGCTTGGGCCCACTCTGTCACCGACTCAGCGGATCTCAGATGTGAGACCCCTTGCTTTGGGAGACAGAGGTTTTTATAGGTTTATTTTAGCAAGTTTAGCATGTAGCGGAGTAGGGGGTCTTCAGCCTGACAAGCATCTGATTGGTTGCAGCCCAGTGACAAACCATAAACTGTTGGCTTCGGGAAATCTGAAAAGATATCTGAGAGTAGGGGGTCTTCAGCCTGACATGCATCTGACAAACCCAGTGACAAACCATAAACTGTTGGCTTCGGGAAATCTGAAAAGATATCTGGACTTTTAGTACTTTTCTGTCCCTGGTTAATTGACTGTTGGAGGGGGAGTTGTTCTCTATTAGTTTTAAGTATTGTGGTTATTCTTGGAACAGGGCCCAGGGCTGGGTCAGTCCTATGGAGGTTTTATTTAAGATGGAGTCACTCAGGTCTCTCACAAGTATTCAGAAAATTACACTGTAACCCCAGGAAGATGTTGATCTGATAAATCTTGGTGTGAAATTTCATGGAGAAAATCCTCTTCCTGTAAGCACCCTTTGAAAAACAAGAGTTTTAGCAGGGTGTGGTGGTGCACGCCTTTAATCCCAGCACTCAGGAGGTAGAGGCAGGAGGATCTCTGTGAGTTTGAGGCCAGCCTGGTCTACATAGAGTTCCAGACCAGCTGGGGCTACAGGGAGACCCTGTCTCAAAAATACAACAAATAAATAAAAATAAAAAATAAATTAAAACAAGAGTTTTTTTCTCTGTAACCTAAAATGTTAAATTATCAGTTGTAAGTAAATGTGATGTTCCCTTTGAGAAAAGAAAAGTTAGACAGTTTTCTTCTTCTATTATGGAACTGATCAAGTCGGGCACGGTGGCATGTCTTTAATTCCAGCATTCAGGAGGCAGAGACAGGCAGGTCTACATAGTAAGTTCCAGGTTAGCCAAAGCTGGGACTTTTTTTTCCAAATAAAAAATAAAAGAAAGAAAAGAAACTGATCAAATTCCTGTTCAGTACCTGCCTCTGTAAAAACCTATGTGATTAGCATTCTTGGTAGCTTCAGAACACATCCTAAAGTCAAGCATTTCCCAACATTTCTAGAACTCTCCAACATTCTGAAGCCTCTCTCCTAGAATATGGCACTGGTGTCCTTGTAAGATAGACTGCTAAGGATCTGTGTGAAGAGGAAGTATTTAGCCTACTATTGGGTGGAGATCAATGTAGGCCTGGAGCCAAGAAGACAGTTCTGAATGGAGATTCAGCAAACCCTTATAGTCAAGTTATTCATGGATCCCCAAAGCCACACTCCTCATGCCCACCCCCAACTTCTGGCAGCCAGGGACAGTGCTGGCTTCATCCTCACCAGGCTCAGCCAGCTGGCCTCCCTGCCTATTTCCCCAAATGTGTCTCCATCTGGATCTTGCACCCATGTGTCTCTACTCATTTGTCTACACTGTAGGATTAAAAGTATTCTAAGTCTTCTGAGAAGATCTGTCTACACAACCTGTGTTTTCAGTCGTCTGAGACTGAAAACAGCCTACCAGACTTGATCTAAGAAATAGTTTGTATCTTGTTTCCAACCCTTTCCTGGAGCTGGGCCTCTTGGGAGACAGTGTAGTCCTCCCAGAACTCCCAACTGACTTACACAAAAAAGCCAGTACTAGGTTAGATAAATTAATCCAAAGGAAGGAGATCAACTTCATCAAAGGCATTCCATATTAGGCAACATTCTTTATTGGACATCTTTACCACTAGATAGAACACAGACTTACAGCTAGGAGACTTTCCTGCTGAGAGTGACAGAATAGTCCTCCTATTCAACTTCCTTCAGAAACTTTCATGTATTTCTAAAAGGCTGGTGAAGACTGTCTTCACACATCCCAGTTTCCCAGGGGAGCTGTCTTATTATGGATAGAGAGAACTCCAGTGGAATTCCAACCATCCAGACAATTGGCAAGGAGAACCTTGAAGAACTGCCAGAGAGATGGTCCCAAAAAATCTGGCAAAAGCCATATTCCAGGTATCTGGCTGAATCCTAAAAGAGGCATTCAAGTCACGCTGGGTCAAGGGCTTTCTCTGGACCAGCTGAAGCATCACATGGCCTGAGAAGGGAAAGTACAGCAAGATGAAGCAAGGCCAGACCAGAATTATAATAGCTTGAGGAACAGTATGAGTCATTCCAGCCCAGGCCTTCCCTGGTGATCTATATACCCCACCCCCACTATCTCGGTGACTTCGTGCCATAAAAAGGACTAGAACTTGAGGCTGTTTTCCCCCTAAATGGACTCTGTGAAGCATCTGATTCCTAGCCAGCCACCCGAGAGTTTCTTTAGGAATTAATGATGCCATGCAAGTATTCGAAGACAGGCATCAGTCCTTCAACCATAATTCTACCCAGGACACCTACCTCGGGCGTTTCGGTAAGAGTCCTGGCTCACCACACTCCAGATCATCTCCATTAACCATTGCCTTGCCCTAAGTGGTCCCACAATTGTGACTCGTGTCTGGCCTGAGGCTGTGAACCATCTCTCCAGCTGAATGAAGGTGTGGCTGTGTACCTCGATGCGGTGTAGGTCTGTGTCCCCTTGGCCTGTGAAAAGAAAGAGTAGAAGGGCATGTAAATCGCCAGAATTTGGTGGATAGACAGCTATCAGAATCCATGATGAGAGAAGGAGAAGATGCGGCCAAGGGTTACTTACCACTTATATGCTCCTCCAGACCCTCATCCAGGAGGAACACCAATGGGTCGTTAAAGTGTTCAGGCACAGTCCACCATTCTTTCTTGCCGAGGGCACTCATTGCCATGTTGTGACAGATTGTGCTTGATTCAGAACAGGACGATTCCAAGTAACCCAACTGCACAATCCCGGCCCAGACGCATATATACTCTCTCTGAGGGCCCAACTTTGACCCACCTTAGGGAGGCGGGCTTATCACTCTAGTTTTTCCCTCCAAGATCCAATCAACCAATTGTTCATCTTTCATGCCAATTAGATAATCTATTTGGTCCTTCTTTCTAATACCAAGACATCTAAAATTGTCTCGTTTGTAATATCAAAGATTCTGGAGAAGATCTACCAAGAATGGACTTAGAGGAATGGTTGAGGGTTAAAGAGGCAGGAGCAGGAAGACCCAAGGATGGGACCCTAGATCGTGACAGGTCCTAACTGCAAACTAAGGACTATGGACGGGTATTCAAAGAAAGCTGGATTTACTTTGTTATTTGTGGCACAATGGGGAGCAGGGCACAATATCCCAGGAAGGGGGCTGTTTATTTGGCAAGTTTTATCTAGAAGTAGACCCCTGTGCTTTTTGGTCTTTTCTTCTTTTAAAATTCTGTTTTGTTTTGTTTTGTTTTAAGCAAAGTTGCACTAAGTAATCAAGTCAGGCCTTCCTTCCTGAACCTCCAAAAGCAGCTTCTGTCACCAAGCCCAGCATGGGTTTTTGTTTGTTCTTTTTTTTTTTTTTTTTTTTTTTTTTTTTTGAGACAGGATCTGTGACATCTCAAATCTCCACCCTGCTTTGTCCGGCCTCTATG